TCTCTTCTTAAATTGGCTTGGGGGAAGGTGTCAAATATTTTAAAGTCAGAGGGGTTACCATAAAACTTCAGTTAATAGCCTGGGCTATTATTTGCTTAAATCACTGAACTCAACAGGCCTATATTTGGGACAGGCCTTTAATTCCTTTCTCACCAAACTGTTGCTCAGCAAAGATGGGGAATGCAATCAAATTGTTTATTTAAACCAGTATGACTATCACTTGTTCAAAAATTATACTTCAGATAACATATCAATTATGAATCATTCATTTGATTTAGCTCCGAAAGACGATTTATATTCATGAGAAACCCTTTATTTTCTGATCTATGGACTCTTACAGACTAAAGGAATATGAATAACCTACAGGGTAATCAAGGAATGGACACATAATTTTAAGTCGCTAACAACTTGGTTTTATATATCCGAAGAACGTCTATAAAAAAAAATTAACTGCCTGGCAACCACACCAGGCTTCTAATTGAGACAGGTGTTTATTTGTCAAAATGTGCAGCTGCACCAGGCTTTTAAAAGAGACTGAGCTTTTAATTGAAGTTTTACGGTAAATCCAAGTGAAGTCATGAGTCACTTTTGTTTAAGATCAAGTCAAGTTTTAAGTCTTTTTTGGATTTTGTCGAGTCTAAAGTCATCAAATTTGAGTTAACTCATGTGACTCCACACCTCTGATACATGTACAGTAAATTTAAAGAAGTAGGTGAACTAATGGTTGTGTAGTTTCCCCCCTCTTCTTGTATCGATCAGATGTACTCTGTGTACAAGCTACTGTACTATATAACACCTCCAATTTAAAATGTCTTCCCTAATACCAAGATTAGGTTTCTGAATGCCTGAGAATGTGAGTACAGTGCTCAGATGACTAAGTGACATGGACACCACATACCAGCCGTCTCAGTCATAGATAGCAACCAGCTCCATACCAGTGTGTTACATACAAAATGCAACTTTATTAACCTTCATGCCTCCATTCATATTAATATACATGTATATGTTTGAACTTATTTTAATTTCACAGCTCCATCCATATGAAAAATACAGAGAAAAAGGCAAAACACTGACTGGATACTTAAACAACTCTTGGAAGAAAAAGAAAAGCGTAACAGAAAAAAAAGAAAGAAAGAAAGAAAAAGGACACCTGTTCTTGAATTTTTGAAAAATACCAGGATTAAAAATTTTTCTTTTACAGATGTGGAATTCCATGAGCAGAATCTCCCTTTTGAAGCGATGCTGAGCAATATCACAATTTTTTTTTTCTCAAACGGTAAGAATGAAAAGATCTGAATATATTTACACTACACTCACTTTACATAAATACAGGAACAACGATTACTGTACGTAATATCAGCAAACTCGAAACAATTGGCTTTCACTACTTAAAAATTTTCAAAAACCAGGAAATCAAAAGCAGATGTTACACAGAAAGTAAAAATAGATATCCAACTGATAGAGAGAAGTGTAAGATCAGTATTCATTAACAAAAGGCGTCGCTCTACAGCCGGAATGCCAGCCACAAGATTCCTCATTATCTTCTGTGTTGAATTCATGTGATGAAGCTGAAACATCGAGAGGAAGTGACTTATTGCGAGCAAAGTAATAACGCGAGCTATAAACAGCCTGGGAAAGTGTTATGGGAGGATGCTGTGTTTGACACAATGGCATAAGGCTCAGTGCGAAAAGAAACATTAAAGGTCCAACTTGCATAATGTCGTCTGTGCTTTTTATTTTTTTTTTTTCCTTTCAAAATTTATGGATGTTTATTAATTTGAGCACACGTGTTGAAATCCAAACTCTGCACAGAGCAGTTGATATTACAAGTTTGCAATATGAGGCACTATTCATTATTATTGCATAACTTTGACCCTGGTTACCGTTACAAAATTATGCTTTAAAATGAGGAGAGAGATGCTGACGGGAAATATAATACACCCTGTCCTGTGGAGACACCGTATTCAAGTCTAATTGAATTGAGCAAAAACTGGTGTATTAAGGCATGCAACATTACTGAATACGAGAGTACACTTGTCATTGATATGTGCTTGATCGATATAATTTCTTGTCCGGGTATAGCAAAATAGCAACACAGGGAATCGAGTACCTTAATACGGTCAATGTATATAAATAATTTGTTAATTATAGCAAACACTGGTTCAGCCTTGGGAATCAAAATGATTTGATCGTGAACTTATTTAAACCACAAACCAAAGAAACTGTCCTAGAACGTCACATATGATAATTTACATGATGGATACCATTAGCCCCATTTCACTGTATATCAAATTAGATAAATTACAGTCTCTGAAAAAAGACTTTACATGTATAAATGTATTTCCTGCATCTACTAATCAAAAGCCCTATTTTTCCAATGTATATACAGGCTGTAGAACTTTGTAATAAGTTTTATCTTCACTATCACATATATTACAACATTTCAAAAGATCCTTTGTACAGAAGAAAAAGAGTTATATGCAAAGATGAAGTGCCCCTCAATAATAAAATGTTCTTATACATTATATGGAGGATAAAATAGGATGATGATTATTTGTTTATAAATTGACATCTGAAATAAAATAATTTTGAAAATCATACTAATAAACAAACAAGGTGCTGATATGCTTTTTGCCAAAAATGATAATACAACTGGGCATAATGACATGTGCGCAAAGAATATACATAAATAATGATGACGTACATTACCATTCTCCGTTACAAAATCAAAGGGGTGTCACATACGTTGGGTGCATGTGTGGAAATGACTTCCTGGATTTGGCTACTTTGCTGAAAGGGAGGATGTGTGCGGGTATATGTGTGTGTGTGGTTTTCAAGGTGCTGCTATCAAAAAGGTTGCCATTTCTTTTTACTGGCTTCGGTCCAGTAAATGCATTTAGCAGCACTATCAAATAATATGGGATGGCCTGATGCTCTGAGTTTATGTCTGCACGTCTAACACGGCATGAAGAGCGTTGGAAACACTTGCAAAAATGTCCGTTATTATGACTATAAAAACGTACATTTTAATTACATTTCCTGATTAAGGTTAAGCGATGTTCAGACGATATCTCTGCCAGTAACTGCATCTAAAATGTTTTCTTTTTGTACATATATAATATGTGCTTTGTATGTATGCATACACATGGGCATAGGTTTTGTATCAATACTGGGGGACACATTTGGAATGGGGGGTATGTTGGTCCTCTGCCAGAAAATTTTAAGCATCACATGCTTAAAGGGATAGTTTGGATCTTTTGAATTGGAGCTGTAGAGGTGCTTAGCCATGGTCAGTGTGTTACAGACAGTACATGTCGGTCAGCATGCCCCCAGTTTGGAGAAGCAGACAGGATTAATGGCACAGAAGCTAAGCAGCGTACTGCTGAAAATGGTGGCAGCAGAAAAAACCTTATCCACCTAAAATAATAACAGTTTAATTGTATGTTATATTTAGTATATTTTTACCACTTTATTTTGCAGTCAGACTTGGCATTTCTGACGGCGAACTGAAGCTGTGTATCAATCTCTTCAAAGCCAGACTCCATTGAAAAAAACAGTAATTTTACATCGCTGAACACAGGAGCTGCTGATCTACTGCTGCCTCCATCAGTTAGTTAGTTTGTGTTATTGAGTGACTTCGGCATTTAAAAGGGTTACTTCAGATTACCCACAGTCACACAATAACACAACAAATTGTCTGACTGAGGCAGCTGTAGACCAGCAGTTTCCATGTTCAGCGATTTTAAATTACTGTTTTTCTCAATGGAGTCTGGTGGCATTAATAATAGATGGGGAACTGAAGCCGTTAACAGCTTCCACGTCAGAAAGGGCCATCTGTGGTGAGGTAAAGTGGTGAAAATATTCTGAATATAGCGTATACTTAAGCTTTTATCTATTTTTTTAGGTGGCGGAAATACGTTTTGTTGCGGACCCCATCCACAGCAGTGCATTGTTAGCTTCTGTGGCAGTACTCCTGCCTGCCTCTCCAAACTGGGAGAGTGCCGACCGACATCTACTGAATGTAATACACTGACTATGGATAAGTATCTCATAGAACCCCACTTCAAAAAATCTGGACTATCCCTTTAATTTTCTTGCCTGGGTCCAGAGCTATGAATCTGCCCACTCCACCGAATTTGGAGCGCGACAAGTTGACAATTCAGGTAGTTTTCCACACAAATTTGTTCCTTTTCTGCATCAATTTATGGTGCAAATATCTTAAATTTTATCACAATAGAAGTCCAAATGTTTGAAATATTGAGGGGTCATGCCCTCTGCGTCCCCCCGGGCATATGTGATTCTTCCACTTTTCAGTATTTCCATAGCCAAATCTCAGGTAAATCAGACAACATATATCTGGTCTGAGCTGAGAACATTTCAAGTGACTTTCTGTACTTGAGACAAACAAAATAAAATGATTCAGAGTAACTCACTAACTGAGACACATCAGATTAGAGCCTTGTGCTGGAGCTACGAACCAATCAAACAAGAGGGAGTCGTGGTACAGTGCGAGGAGTCGGCCCCCAGGCTGGAAAACTTCTCCTCCGATATTGACATCAGCAAACAGAACAAAGAGAAGGCTAGCGTTCCTTCCCATCACTTTGTTCAGTACGTATTGCTCTTCTGTATTGTACATCAGGTAGCACACTATCCCTGTAACACTGCAGCTGATGTCAGTTTCAGCTTATGGTCAAGTGCGGCTGTGCAAAAAACCACAACGCAGGTTTCTTTCACCATCAAAACCCAGCTGAGAAAACAGAGCTGAATAACCAAAAAAAAAAAGAAAAGAAAAACAGATTGATAAGGACAGAATGAAAGCGTGAGTCTGTAAGGTGCCTCTATTTTTTTTTCTTCACATACTGGAAATCTCCTCTGATTGTTTCAAAGTTCACTGTACATGAGGGGTTGTATTTTTCTGAGTCAAACATAAGCAATAAGCAGGCATTTAAAAAAAAAAAAGCAAGATTCAATAAACAAAACATACTGAAAGTATATTTATCCTTTAAGATTGCACTTTACTGATTGCTAATCACAGCACAAATTCCACCAAAGATTTTTTTTTTTAAAGAAATGCTTTCAAGAGGCTCAACATAAAGAATAGCACTGATGAGATCTGGGGTTGTCCGGCCCTGTGAGCGGGTCATAAACGGTGTGTTTTTATTTGCTGGTGTGATGATATGTATGTCCAGTTTCCATTGAATATCTGTCAGTGTTGATGAGGTTGATCCATTCAACTTGTGGCTGTTTGTTATTTACCGTTTGCTGGCTGTGAGACAGGTGAAAGTCCAGTCCTCGTTCGACTTCTACGCGGTATGCCTCGGATTTAACAGCAGGCTCCAGCAGGCAGAGGAATCCATCCGTGGTGAAACGGCGTCCTCTGCTGGTCACAAATCGGACTCACAGGGAGCCACGGCGCAACAATACTGCCTGTAACTCCAACTAGGCCCAAGTGCATTCCTGTGATTGAGTTCAGCTCCTAACTTGTGTCTGCTCCCACAGGAAATCCATTCCACACAATGGGGTCTTTCACATTATGAGTGCTGGAAAAGCAGCCATTTGAACAATAATGAAAAGAAAGATACCAAAAAAAGAGACTGTTGCGATTGCATTATATATATTTTTTTTGTCCAAATAAAGAGTGCGAGTTCATCTTTAAAAATCAAAGTGAAACATTTACAAACAGTGCTGTAAAAGACAGTTCCCTATTAGACTCCAAACAATGACAATAACAGATCCTGCCGTCTTTTCCTTCCAGCCCAAAGAGGATCCAGAAGTGACCCTGTTTGTGCTCCTCTTCATCTTCTCTCCTTGTGATGGATGAGAGTGTGTGTGTGTGTGTGTGTGTGTGTGTGTGTGTGTGTGTGTGTGCACGTGTGTGTGTGAGTGCGTCTGTGTGTGTGTGTGTGTGTGTGTGTGTGTTTGCGTCCAGGCCAGCTGAAAAACATTCACAGGGAGATCCCGCTCCCCCGGCTGCCTGTGTTTGTGTGTGTCTTGTTTCATTGATCACTCTCTCTCTCGTTCTCTCTGTATCTCTATTCTCTCCGTCTGATTCACACCAGCATGTGTCTCCGTCGGTGCAGGGCCAAGTGGTCAGATCTGGAGAAGCTGCGGTCACAGTCTGCACACTTGAAGGGCTTCACCCCCGTGTGTTTTCTGTAATGCCTCGTCAGCTCGTCGGAGCGGGCGAACTTCCACGTGCAGCCGTCCCAGGTGCATTTGTATGGCTTTTCCCCTGGAGAGGAAGACAGGAAACAGAGGGCACGGTCAGTGGCTGTAGATCACATGTTCGGTACCAGAGGTGGGGTCAGGTCAATAGCTGTGAAAAGTTGTGGATGGTACCAATGGAACCGTTCTGTACTGTCCCCATATTTGGTCCCCCCTCTGTTGGGGTACCTAGCACACAGATCTGGTACTAAAAGGTGGAGCTGTGACCACTGCAGCCTGATTGGTCAATAGAGGACGGTCACTCTGCTCAGGGCTGAGTTGTGGCTGGTTTGAGGCTCATGTAACCACTGTTCATACTGTGGAGAGTTTTACTAGTAAACTGTAACTAAGAAATGAAAGGATGTTTTGCTGCCTCTTGCAGCAGCTGGGGAGAAAAATAACTTAATTCACTGGCCCGACTGCTGGTGACTTTTAAGAAGGAACGTTTACTTGTAATGTCACTCAATGCATGAGGTGACGACACGAATCAATCAACACACCTTAAGTTTCTGTGGCAACTTTGACCATTACCTCAGTCTTTATATGACATACACTTTAAGTAATGAGTGGATCTTCAAGCGTTCATATATATTAATTTTGACAAGGTTATGTGAACTGCATATATTCTAATCATCACTTAGAGAAATAAAAACACATCGTGGACCATAGCTCCTGTGGGCTCCGGCAACACTAAACCACTGAGCTTACTGGTGAAGAACTTACGGAAGCGTATTGCATTCACTTGACAAATAAAAAAAAATCTGTTTTACTGAGTAATTTTTTCTGTTTTTCGGAGTAATTTTTTTATTTTTCTGTTTTTTGGTGTAATATTTTTTCTGTTTTTCTGTTTTTCGGTGTAATTTTTTTTCTGTTTTCCGTGGTAATTTTGTTTCTGTTTTTCGTGGGGATTTTTTTGTTTGTTTTTTTCGGTGTAATTTTTTTCTGATTATCTGAATATTTTTTTCTGAGTTAAGAGAGCAATAGAACAACAGACGCTTTCATTCCTTTCTTGAGAGCTTGATATAATGGAAGCAAACATGACCCGCTTGTTTAGTTTAATCCAGTGTTACTTTGTTTTGGGTTATGTGTCCAACTGATTCTGGAGAAACACTGCAATGTCCAGCAGATCTGAATGGGCTTTTCGTCTGAACAACTGCAAAGTCTTAAGGTGCCTGCGTAAAGTCGACAAACTAATGATAACACCATCTATATGACTTAAAGACAAGAGTATCTCCCAGTGTCTCAAACCCAAAACAAAGTAACACTGGATTAAACTAAACAAGCAGGTCATGTTTGCTTCCATTATATCGATCTCTCAACAAAGGAATGAAAGCATCTGTTGTTCTATTGCTCTCTTAACTCAGAAAAAAATACTCAGAAAAACAGAAACAAAATTACACCGAAAAACAGAAAAAAAAAAAAAAAATTACTCAATAAAACAGATTTTTTTTTTATTTGTCAAGTGAATGCAATATGCTTCCATAAGAACTAAACGCACAAACCCACTATTTTTAAATATCCCATGGAGAGAGACTCTCACTGCAGCCTGTTGTATTTTGTTCAGAAAATGTTGGCATGCAGCCTCGTCTGTGGATGATAAACGAGGTGCAGACTTCCATCTGTGTCCCCAGTAATGAGGAAATACAGTGAGTGCTGGATGGAGCAGTGAGTGACAACAACCCCGCCCACATTTAAGGGTACTGTTTGCAGTGGAAACACTAGGGTCTAGGTACCATGTCTGAAGGGTTACTGTTGGTTCCAAAGGTACCATAACGAAAGTGTTTGTTGGAAACGGGTCTATTGTTTTGTGAGTCATAAGTAAGTCTCAAGTAGGGATGCACAATAATATCGGCACATCATCGGTACCAGCCGATATTGGCTTTAAAATGAACAATTGGAATCAGCCAACATGCTAGTCATTTTTGAGTCTGTTAAGTCTAAAGTCATCAAATTTGTGACTCAAGTCCAAGCAGACGTTGCGCTAGACTTTTTCGTCGCCGGTCATTTTGACCGACAGGGTCATAAAAATCCCGTCATAATCTATTATTACTGGTCATTTTAATTTTCGTTTTTAAATGACAATAAAGATATTCAAAGACATTTAGTTTTCATTCGTTCGTTTTTAATAAATCCAACAAGCAAGTTATAAAGTGTGCATTAATAAGGACATGAACGAAAAGATGAACAGACATCCACACACCCGTGCCATTAGGCTTCGCCCTGGACACACCGGACGGCACTAACGCGTCACTAACGCGTCCGGTGTGTCCAGGACATTATGTCAACAACGCTACATGAAGCAGATGAATGACTTTTTGTCTGCAGTGTGAAAATGGCAGCCACTGGCTGTGCACTCCGCCACCAAGTGGGCAAGGGTGGTAATTGCAACCGGTCAAAATGACCGACGGCCTTCACATTTTCCGGTCATTGTTGTAAAAAACCGGTCAATGACCGAGAATATCCGGTTAACGCGACCCCTGAGTCCAAGTCACATACTGGCTACTTTAGTCTTGATTCGTTATAAATGTCAATTTGTGTCCTCAAAGTTGATAACCTTCTGCCTATAATGTATTGAAAGAACAGCTGAAAGCCTTTTATAATATTTTTAAACAATCATAAGATAGTGTATGATCATAATATTTTATAAAGTCAAAAATCATTGTTGTTTGTAGAAAAAATCACTATCTGTTGCTCATGAAGGCTCGAGTTTTGGTGCTTTCTGCAAGTTTTAGCTCCTAACTTACATCCACACTTTGCAAGTTAGAAGCTAAAACTCTTTACTTTAAAGTTATAGTGAAGTAAAGAATACACAAATATGGCAGGAAAATCAATTTGCAGACTCTTGAAACTTGCTTGAGGTGTGTGATCCATCACAGTGAACAATTAAAGCTAATGGTACATTATCATTGCATAGTAACACAGTTATGGTGCAGATCGATTTGCTACTTCTGCACTTATCACATCATTACAACAAAGGCTGAGTTTAAGTTCGCTCTGATGGGTGAGACAACTCAAGCAAGTTTTAGGATGCTCTCAATAGATCTTCAACTTGTTCCAGTCTTGATCCAGTCAAGCTGCAGTTACAGTTTATATCCTTGTGTGTACAGACTTATATGTAACAACAAATTCTAAAACTTGGATGTGTCACACACTTCACCCCGGCCGCACAGAAGATCTATACAGTCAGCAAGATTCAAGAGTTTCAAGATTAGTGTCAGCAATTTAGTATCTGACCAAATGTCTCTCCGTCTGTTCATGAGTTATGGCACTGTGTAAGGGTCATAAAAGTGTTTTTGCTGAATATTATGATGTCACAGTGAAGTTGATCTTTGACCTACTGGATATAAAATGTCATCACTTTATCATTTAGACATTTGTGTGAAATTTTGTCATGATTACTGTCTGAATTCTAGAGTTAAGGGCAAAAACATGTTGGTGTGACCTTTGACTTTTGACCACTAAATTCTAATCAGTTCATCGTTGAGTCCAAGTGGACATTTGTCTTTCTGTTTCTTTTTTTAACTGTTGTTTTTTAAGTCATCTATTATAAAGTTAGACTCTGTGTAATTATATAATTTGGCACGACAGCAGCACTAACTGCAACTGTTGATGATGCTAGACGACAGGTGTGTGCTGTCTGAAGAAATCCCAACATTCTTTCCTCCTTTTTGTTTCGTGCAAACAAAAGAAAAACACATCAAATCTGAAGGTTCCTGACTTCAGACAAATGCTGTTTTACATCCTGTCAGCTACACCAGTGACACAGTTACAAAGACCATCAACATGTGACACATCAACACGTCTTCACGAATGTGTGTTCCTCTTGTCTATATAAAGTGTGATACATGATGGAGGTTGACAGGAAGTTGTGTAATTGACCCACATCTATGCTTGTTTTGTTTTCCGATGTTATTTATAACATGACCGAGAATGTGTCAACTTCCCCTTTAAATGTGTCTGCTACTGTATGTATCACTGTACACCTTATTTAAAGCAGACAGTGAGCCATCAGGAAGGCCTTATGGCAGTCATAACCACAGCATCCTTCCATTATGGTGACAAAAAGCCTGAATGATGTTGAGTAAGTGGCTAGGAGACCATATATAATGTATTAAGATGGTTGATATATGAGTTCATAGAGTGTTACATGTGTTTTAATGCATTATGAAGTGTAGGTTTATATAATCAGGTGCGTAAATAAAGACAGTACAGGCAGTGGTCTTGCATTGGGGCCCGTAGAGAGAGCGGGCCCTTGCAAGTGATTCAGACTGCTACCTTGGATATATACCTGCATTCAAAGATAAATTATGAAATAAAAGAATATTACTAATTTACAATTTGCTATTTATGGCCTCAAAATGGCAAACCCATCTGCTTTAAAGGGATAGTGCACCCAAAAATGAAAATTCAGCCATTATCTACTCACCCATATGCCGAGGGAGGCTCAGGTGAAGTTTTAGAGTCCTCATAACACTTGTGGAGAACCCAGGGGAGAGTGGGTAGCAGCATAACTCCACCTAATGGAGGCTGACGGTGCCCCAGATTCAAACGTCCAAAAACACGTAATTGAAACCACAAAATATCTCCACACTGCTCGTCCATAATAGTCTGAGTGGGCGGAATTTCGCTGCATAGATCAGCCTCTCATCGGGCGGAACGAGCCACCCACCCTACCACCTCCGGTTGCAGTTTTCAACATATCCTTTACTGACTTTTGCGGTGTTTGATCTTGCGGGGATGTAGCCATTTTTCTGCAATGGTTTGCGTCCTGTAGGCAATATTTTTGTGGGCGTGTTACACCAAAACCTGTTTCCCCCCGGCAATATTTTTGCAAGCGCACCGTTGCTGTGGCACTGCCCAGAACGATTGTGATTGGTTGAAAGAAATACAAGCAGCCGGGGCTTTTTTTCCTCCAATCTTAAAGTGAGACTCGACCCAGCCAGACCTTTCTTGTCTTAAGAAAGGTCTGGTGAGCAAGACTAGTCCGTAGTGATCCAAGTGTCCTGAAGCCCCGACATAAAAAGTTGTTTGGAAAAACGTCATTTAAACTCTGTTTTTAGCCTCATTGTAGCCTGTAGCTCTAACTGCCTCTCTGTGCACCCCACTCACATGTGTGTTGGGGCTTCAGGACACTTGGATCACTACGGACGAGCAGTATGGAGATATTTTGTGGTTTCAATTAAGTGTTTTTGGACGTTTGAATCTGGGGCACCGTCAGCCTCCATTAGGTGGAGTTGTGTTGCTACCCCCTCTCCCCTTGGATCTCCGCAAGTGATGTGAGGACTCTAAAACTTCACCTGAGCCTCCCTCAGCATATGGGTGAGTAGATAATGACTGAATTGTCATTTTTGGGTGCACTATCCCTTTAAGGTTTTAAATAGTCAGGAGCTATCTAAAACAAAATTATGTGCTTTTTCTATATAAGCTATAAAATTAGTGAATATACTATAAAAACTATTCACTTAAATGATTGATTTTCTCCTGTCTCTGATATCTTTGTCAGATATGCAATGCTAATTTCTGGGTAATATGTACGTATGTTGATATTGTCCGATGTCAAGCCCCTGTTTGTGTCAAGACAATACATGCACAATAACGTGCAACAGGGCCTGTCGTAACTTCCTTATGCCACAGTGTATGATGCATTATAGATACAGACTTAAAAGAAAATGCACCAAAAGGTTGTTCCCTTTTTTGACTGACCATTAGTCATGATGATCCAAGAAGTGGTGGGTGTCATTTTACTTTGTACTCCTTACAAATAAACTCATGTGACAGACAATTTTGGCTTCCTAACATGGCATCAAAATGTTCCTTTGTGCAAGTCTGAGTTGAAGCAAATGACAAACAGGAAAAGGGATAAAGGTGTTTAGTAAGTCCTGGAACTTTAACATGTTTTTCCACTATCATTTCGTTTCAGTTTTGAGTCCAGCTTTAAACAAACTTTGTGAATATCTTGGACTTGAACGTGTGTCTATTTGGATTCAAGTCTGGCTTATTTCCCATGACTGAGCTTATTCTTCCACTCAAGCTACATAAAAATATACTAATTTATTAAGGTTTGATCCAGTTGAAACCAGTACAGCAGGTTTACATCTACCATTATGCTACTTTTAATTTCTAATTATTTATTTAGAATAAATTCTTTTTCAAATTGCTCTGGTCACGTCTTGATTTGGCTTTGACCTTTGACCTGTTCCAGATTAAAATTTGACTTTATCCCTTCTTCAAAGTGACAGTCAGACTCTGTTTTCAGTGCAACCTCAGCACAATATTACCTGAGTTACATATTTACGAGCCCATGGCACTGGCTATTACAAACAAGGAGTGTGACTTTCCGGAAACATAAATGTGGTTACTGTCGGATGGCTTGAGTCGACAACATAATAAAATCAAATCACAGGATCTGAGTGTTCACAGTGAGACCTGCTGACCTGTATGCGTCCTCCGGTGTGCTTTTAAATGGGAGCTTTTGGTGTACACCTTATTGCAGCCCTCAAAGTCACATCTGTGGATTCTTCTCTTTTTGGAATCTGGTGACTCTGACCTCCGGGGGCGCCGTATGCTGTCGATGCTGAACGGGGACATGGAACTGCAACGGGAGAAAAAGAACCAACATGAAAGCATTATTAGACTGTGACCGTGACTTTGATATCATCAGTCTAATTCTGAGCAGGTTTTGGGTATGTGGTGTATTCAGTCTGAAAACATGACAACATAAAACATCCTCAAAACAGTCTGCATATACAAAAAAAACATTGATTTTTGAATGTGCTGTTGAAGCACACGATTCTCACACACTACAATGCACAGGTGTTGCACACAGCTGCAATACAGTGTAATTGTGGATGTGATGAAACAGCTCGGAAAACAAGAAATACAATTTTGTGTCTTTGTGAAGTTTAGTTAGCAGTTTCATTTTAAAATGGCTATTTACAGTAGTTTAGGAATATGAATGCTACTGAAACATATCACAAGGTAGCACAACCCATGCAGTGAAGAGGTGCCATCTTGGTTTATTGAATAAAAACACTGATAATACAGACAACAGTGAAACATATTGTAATGCTACCAGTTTTTGTAGGTCATTGTGTTATGGGTGACAGAGTTTTGTCGTTGGGAGACAATGGTTGTTCTGGTGAGAGTCAATCCTGAGAATGTATGTGAAATTAATGTATTACACTGTACTAAACTGTGCTGTATTACACTGGTTTCCATCCTGGGGGTCCTAACGCCCACTAGGGGTCGCCAAAGCTCATAGGAGTGGATTTGTGGGGGATGAGGGGACAGTGGAAGTGGCTCAGAACTTATATTTCGACAAAATTAAAGACGTTTACAACATAAACGGATGCATAACAGACACAAATTGGTGCATAACAAGTCACCAGAGTGCAAGAAATTAAGTTTTAGATGCTCAAAATTTTCTGGTGGAGGACCCCAAACTCCCCATTTCATATGAGCCCCCAAGAAATGATGAAAAGAAACCTACACCTGTGCCAAAGATTCACAGGGGGATTGCACAGCTTTCTTCTTTTAAAGGGCGTAAAACAACTTAAGGTTTAGATTATTACTCAAGATAGAAACTCAAAAATATATGTCAACAGTCAAAGTACTGCACATTACTTACAAAAACTACCTTTGAATGAGAACAAATTCAATAATACACATTAATGAAACAACCTTTCACATGAAAAACGTCCTTTTTACTATATATGATACATCATCATTCCCTCTCTAAAATCTTCTTTATAGAGCTGTGAGAACATCAACAAGTTTCTCCTTCAAACACCAAAACGATATTTTACAAGATTACATTGAACACATCATGAGAGCGTTGAAATGTACTTTGCCCAGTGCTCATTTTTACTGAAAACGCTTCACAATGTAAATCAATGCAACCTCTGTGAGCTGTTTCTTGTGGCTACAGGCTGCTTAGAGGTGACGATAAACACTCGTCTCAGTAGTGTAGTAATAGCTGAGTGGGTACCAGGGAGCTTTTGTCGTTTTGACGTGATAACATACATCATGTTTTCTAGGGTTCACGTGACGTTGGATATCTCGCCCATCTCCCCTAGAGAGCAGGTTAAGTGTCGTGTTTAGTAGGCTTTGCTATACAGTTATGTTGTTGTGGCTTGATGTAATATGTCAGAATAATAGTAGTAATAGTAAGAAAGAAATAGCAGATATAGATGATGGCACCCTTAGCATTCACCTATACTGCCTATGCCGAGGGCCGACACTGGCCTCGTCCTGCATTTGAAAGGTACCCAGTTAAAACAACCAAAGGCTGTGGTGGAGCTATGGGTTTACCAGCAGGTGGCAGTGCAGCACCGCAGCACAGTCACAGTAAGGCAGTAGATGAGGTAAGAAAGCTGGTATTCTTCTTGCTCCTCCACTTTCATCAATCACAGGTGGAGGGATAAAGGACTTTTATTTCTCAATGTTGTTCAATGAGGTTAATGACTCCTGAGTTATTTCTGTCATCAATACATTTTGGCGTGACATTTCCTCTCCATTACCTCGTCAATATCACTGTTGATTATATAATTTGTCACTTCCAACTTTGAAGCCCTGTAGCAGAGTGTGTGTGTGTGTGTGTGTGTGTGTGTGTGCTTTTGCAAGCGAGACTTCTCAGTGTTTGAGTGTTTGTATCCTATCTGTGGTAAATCTTAAATGTGCTCACGCATCACTTCTCTGAATATGAGGCTGCACACATACAAAGAAATTCAGGAAGAAAGAGAGGGTAGGGTTGTGGTAGATGGTCAGTAGTTCATGTCCCACGCTTAGCAGCGAGCACCTTCAACACAGACATAAACACATGACTGCTGCACTTGCACGACAAAGGGGCGAGGAAGAGAGAGAGATACAAACAGAAAACAAGAACATCTCTGTTTACTAAGGGAGGGGTGATTTGTGGGATATGTCAGCAGTGATGGAGCGCAGTTGCTTTCCTTTCAGCTCCCGGTGTCTGCCGCTGATACTGAGAATCAGGTAAAGGTCCTAAAGGAGCAGCTTCGGCTGTGTCAGAGGGATTTGAAAGAGGAGCAGGGGCTGCCAGACGGGCCCTCCAGTGAACTGTCTCCACCGCACACAACCCACTTCCTGTCTCTCAGTGTTTCACCGAAGCGCGATTTGTCAAATGCAGACTCAGACATGCAATCGACACACACACACACAGGCCGCACAAATACATGGAAATACAGAAAAACACACATACATGCTGATCACCTGTTGCTCTTGGCGTACTGCCAATCTGAAGCTGTACAGGAAATGAGCACACGGGTCAGATATGAAGTGGACTCCGACTCCCCTCACATTTCTCTCTCTGTCTCTACGGCGTGTGTCTAAGTTCAGAAAATATCGCACTGCAACGTAGTGTCGAATCTGAACATTAGGAAAAAAGTGTGTTCATAAAGCTAAAGGAAAACAATGAGTTTTAATCAGAAATGATTGATGACATCACCAAGCCATCTATTATTCTAACATTGAGAATCTGAGGTGGGGGAGGTCGAGGATAGTTGAAACATTTCTGACATTTCTGTCTGTATCTCGGAGCTCTTTTAAGGCTGTGCATTCACAATGTGATACAACCTAGTTACATGTGTCTGCTATTAAAGATCCAGTGTGTAAGATTCAGAAGTATTTTGTGTTATCCAGTGATGAGGATTGCAGATTGCAACCAGCTTAAACTTCTCAGGATTAGAATTCCTTCAGTGCTCATTGTTCAGGAGGTTTTTAATGGGAGCCGAATTATCCAGAGGTCTCCTCCTCTCCAGCACAAACAGACCAGGAGTCTCATTTATAAAACAATGCGTAGTATAGGTTTCCACCTCACCACCTGTGTCACCAATTTTTCTGTCTCCAAAATGTTCGTAAGCATGGGTCAAAGATTCTCCCATCGAGTCTGTTTTTATAGATCACAACTTTACCGTGGGAAGTGGCGTACGCCTCTTTCACGCCTTGTTTCGTGCATACGTCGTGTTTATAAATGAGACCCAAGGTGATTAAAACTGGTAAAAACACTGAATAAAGCAGTTTCACATTAAAAAAATCTGTTTCTCTGACGCATTCCTCGCGGAGGGGATTCAAACTACAGTGGCCAATGCTAAAATGCGACTAGCTCTATCAAGAGCCAGTGTTTGGTTTGTCCATTCTGGGCAATTGTAGAAACATGGCTATCTCCACAGATGAGAACCCGCTCCCTACATAGGTATAAACAGCTCATTATAGGCTAACCAAAACACTATGATTCTTATTTTCAGGTGATTATACACTAAAGAAAACACATTTATTATATTATATTCCATTTCCGCCAATGTATCCCCCTAAATCCTACACACTGGACTTTTGAATGATGTTGCTGTTATCTTCGTAACACAAACAGAAAATACGCAAGTCTCAAACACAAGGAACAAAATGTTACAATTCACCACATACTCATGATTAGCTGTACCCTAAGGATTTTGTCAAAAACTTAGGACATTTATAGCTTTTTATTAAACATTTAAATGCCTTTTTAATGTAAACGGTATGTGTGTGTGTGTGTGTGTGTGTGTGTGTGTGTGTGTGTAATATTTTGCTTGACATAGGTTGTTACATTTTTTACATGTTGTTAAAACTAACCCAAACTCTTGTAGCCACCAACTAGCTAACCTTACAGCTAACAGCTAAAACATTAGCATTAGCAGCTTGCATAAAAGATATCTACATAAACACATAATAAACTTGATTTAAGTTTGATGAAGTCATCTACAAAGCAGGCAACGCTGTAGACCCTTTTACTGTTAGTAAACAGTATGATGTTTCTGGTGGGCGGGGCTTAGCTGGAGGCAAAACAATTCTCCACAGACATTAGCTAACGCTAGCTAGCAAGTTCTGTTGGCTTGTTTTAGACAATGGAGGAAGATGATGCAAGTGGTGCGTTCAGAAATTCCGAGTACTGGAGTGCACTCTACCACAAACTGGGCCGTTTGTAAATTTAGAGCTCTGTCTGAATGCGTGATTAACTTAACCGTTTGTTAATTCATGTAGAAATATAACGCTCCCTTTCTTCAACCAACAGGGCTCTCATTTCAGTTTAGAGCATCGGACTGAATTTACGAACACACCATGTCAGGTCACTCACTCTCCAGGACCGCGAGTGTTACTTGAAAACAATGTAAACAACTTGTAAACAATGACCAACAGGATCAGACTGGCTGACCTGTATGCTCTCACTCAGTGGATGGATGATGTCACAGGAAGCTTTGCGTTTGATCACTATGCCAATCTTACAAAGGAGGACGACACTTGTACGGTTTCCCCCAGTTTGTTTTGCTATATCGAAGCTAACGTTAGCTAACGCGCTAAAAAGTTAGTGTTATGGAGAAATCCAATATTCCTTTTAATACCTCCCTAATTTTCTGATGAGGTGGACATGATAACAATTAATACACATAACGTTACTTTTGATGATCGCCTACGTCCAGTCCTTTCGTCTTATCGCATTTAACCATAGCTTTCTTTGTGTTTGTTGACGGGCAGTGGCGGCTGGTATGTGATAAAATTTTGAGCAAGTTTTGAGCCATGACTCTTCTATTCTGGCTCCCAATA